TTTACACAGGCAGAGCTGAGGCACAGTGAGATTAGGGTTATATGGTCCATTTAATATGGTTGTCCACGTTGCAATGCCTTTGGCTTAGTTACAGAGCTTACTCAAATATATTTGCAACATTTTTATGGTCTCACTGGCTACAAATACAGCCCTGTGTGCTTATTTTTACTGCACATCACAGCAAAAATGTGTATTTGGCACCCAAATAGCAAGAAAAATGCTCCCACTTCTGCAAAAATTATGACCTATGCAAAATTTGGATTGAATGGGGACCTCAAATGCATTTTTTTCATATTCATAGAATATGAGAATATGAGCCTGAGGCACAAGCAGAGTTAGAAGTCAGTTGTGCATGTGTGCTAGACCACTTTCCCCCCTTGCAGTCTTTCCTGTCGTTCACTAGACATCCAAATGTCATTTGCAACAAAATGCAGAGCCTTCTTCATTAGGCAGCCTTGATTAGGTGGAGTACAGACATCTGCATAGCAGGAGTGAAAGCAGCAGTGATTAACGTGGGGATTTGCTTCTGCTCAGAGCAACACAGACCACTGCACGTTTAGCAAAGCCTAGAAAATATGTTAACCCAGATCTTTTGAGGAAGTTTGACTTAGTCAGTAGTAACAACCCTAAGTCCATCCCATTCTGTAAAGCATATACATACCATGAACTATGGATATATGTCATTGTCCTTCATTATCAGAGGATGCAGAATATGAGCAGTGGCCTAAAGAGATCTCAAGTGAGTGGACATGGCACACTCTTCATTGTAACAGGCCAGTGGCACCAGGCGAGTCTGGCCCAGTGTGTTGGATGATCAAGCTAAGTGCTCCAAATTGCTTCATTTTCCAAAAACATAATCACCATCATGAAGACAAGGAAGAGTCCTGATTTTTAAGCACCAACGAATATACTAAGCAGGTTGATCAGATAATGCAAAGACCAGATAAAAGGTTCTGTGGATAAGAAGTAGGTAGTGACTAAGAGAGATATTTAAAGACTAATTCATTTGTGCACATGACATATTGAGGTCACTTTACATTTTCATCTCTTACCTTCCATTCATCTCTGCATCCATTTATGCCTTTAAAGCAACTGTGCCTTTTCTTAACCTCTTATGTATCAGAGATTTCCTCCCAAATCTGAATGCCTGTTTTGGACAATTATTGAAAATCTGCTGCAAGGTGTTTTTCAGAGTTATTTATGTTTTATTTTTTTTGACTCTGCATTTTCTGTCCAGAGAACAGCTGACAGCCCTCTCTCCGAGGAATTTCCATAATTTTTTCAGAAGGGGAAAGGAGGGTTTTTTGGGTTTTGTGCTTAATATATGAAATGGGATAATTTATAAGCCTTGTGCTAAATCATAGGAACAAAACCATGTGTTTTGAGCTTTGAGTTTTCTCTTGACAGGTACGCAGTATGCTAAGATAATCCTTTAGTGATCAGAAAGTCGCTTTTCTACACCAGACTTTTAGTGAAAAATTATTCAGCAAGCCAAATAGGAATTTCATATCACATTTCATAGATTTTGACCATTAAAGATATTTGTTGCAAAGCAGTCACTAGTGTCCCATAAACAATCTAAGAGAGAGATGAACTGTACATTAGAACCTTGCTGCATGGTGCCCAGATATACTCATCCATCCATCCATCCATCTATCTATCTATCTATCTATCTATCTATCTATCTATCTATCTATCTATCTATCATTAGTTATATCTTTGTTATTCATTTCAGTAATAAATACATTCATATATTACATTATATTGAGAATGTAAAAAGGCCATGTAGGAAAAAAATACAGCAAAAATTTTTAACACCTTCAGATTTTTGTTGCAAATTGCACTAACCATCTGTAGCTAATAGGAACTTCACTTCTCCTCCAAACACAGCTTTTACATCATACATTTAATCTGTTTAATTAGTGGTTTAGATAATAAATCAGTTTTCTATCAGTCTGTTTTGTCATTGCTGATGAAATTATTGTAATGTTGGGCTCAGCAAGTAAAGGAACTCTGTTATTTTACCTTATGTTTTAAGAGCTCTTCCGTATTTGTGTTCCATACCAGATGTCGCAGTAATTATTATCTGCAGACAGGAGTGCCAACTCTGCTCTAAATGTAAAGCTTTTCTAAAAGCATTATGCACTGAATGGTACAAACTACTGTTATGCGCCAGTATATTAATACTTTGAAATTGCTTTTTGTCTTAAGAATTCCTTGCAACTATGATTGTGAAACTGAAAACTGAAATTTTCAGAATTAATCAGATCTGGAGATCAGATGTTATCTGCCTTCCTACTTAGCCTAGATAAATAAGGTTGTAAGAGTTTTGTTGGGTTTTTTTAATGGAAGTATGTTTTTTTTTTCGTTTTCATTTGCTCTGTATGCAAAGAAAAAAAAAAAACAACCCAAAAACCACTATTTCAAAATTACAGCAATTTTATTTTTTCTTCTAAAAGTAGGCAAAATTTGGCCTTCAGTCTTTAGTTCAAGTAAGAATACCTTCAGCAAATGAAATTTTACATGGTTTTTTTTATTTCTTTGAAAGCCAAACCTTTTAAAACTCGCAACCTCTGTTAGCACTTGTAACTGATCTTTTTCATCTTTTTAGTCAGAAAGAAACTTGGGGTTCTTCTCACTTCAGCTGAGAAAGAGCCCTGGGTGGTTTTGTGGTGTGTGCCTGTTATTTCACAATTAGCTCATCATTCAGTTCTGCTGATCATGTTGGGGAGCAGGGGAAATTTGAATCAAAGGCAAAAAGTGAGGAAATAGGTGTTGTCTGGCATGTTAGAGGAGCCCTGCTGAACAGTGTTAGTATGAAGGGTTTCCATAGAAGACAGGACAGTAAGATATAGTGACATGGCTTTAGCAGCCTAATTCTAACAATTTTCTGCTTTTCAATTTCTTCTAAATCATCATGGAGCAATTAAAGCAATAAATTACAGACATTTGAAGAGCAATACATTCCAGTGCCAGGATTCTGCATATGTGAGATGACTACCTAAAGAAAAAAACCCAGACTGTTAAGATTTGGAAAAAACCTTTATTCTTATTTCATTGGAAGCCGGTTTTGTATTCCACTTGGTCAGGAAAGACTTCAGGATCAATATGGCTTTGTAAGTAATTCTGTGCAGGAGTTTTGAAGAAAGCAGAATAACAGACTTCATTTATAGCGCAGCTAATTTTCTAGAAATTAAACAGAAGTAGAAGCCAGCTTGGCCAAGTGTATGAGTAATTTGGGAAAAACATACCTGCATGTATACAGTCTCAGAAGATTCATACCAAGATTTTTTTTCATTTTGACACTCAGTAAGGCCTCAAATCATACTATTACTTAGCTAAAAGATCAAAAAGTTTATTATTGTTAGGATTTGGTGAGGAAGATCACAAAACCAGCAGTATGGATGGATTATGCCCCTTCAGATGTTTGGGTTTATGTAACTGGTAAGACTTGTGGGTCTGTGGAGCATGTGTTCTAGTAAAATTAGGATCTTGGAGATAGGACATATATTTTTCATTAAGAAATGTGCAAAGTGTTATTCAGAGTTCAAACTGAGCTCTTCTCATAGCATGGAGAGATATGACTGAATTAATTTTATCCAGACTTTTCTCTTATTGGTTTTACCTGAAATTAATACCAATATTTGAAGTTTCAAAATGGTCTAACAATATATTATAGGTAAGTTACAGCAGTCATGAACTACTAAAAGTAGAGGAACTGGAGGGCATGTTCTAATGAGTTATCCAGTGCTGACATTATATTTTAGTCTGCTGTTAATGGTGGGGTTCACAAGCATTGGTGTCATTACTGAAACCAGACCAGTAATTATTTGCTGACCACTTCCACAGGATGATGTCACTGATCACCAGGTTTAGTTACAGTATAGAAAAATTATTGGCAAAAAAAAGCCTGAAAAATAATTGATTTTCTATTATACTGCATTTAAGTGTAGTTTCTATTGCAAAAATTCAACAAGACAAAAGCAGTGTGTGAGTAACAATGGGATCACTGTTTCTGAAGCTGGTCTGGAGCAGTGCTGGCATTGCAGGGGTCTAACATGGAACTGCACATTACTGGGTGACACTCAAAACTCTTCCAGGCATTGTCAACCCAGACTGCAAGGCAAGAGGGACTGGCACCTGCTCATTACTGGGTGACACTCAAAACTCTGGGCATTGTCAACCCAGACTGCAAGGCAAGAGGGACTGGCACCTGCTCTATTCATAGCTGCATGACAGAGCTGTAGGGTTTTTTTTTTCTGGGAGTTTTTTGAGGTGGTTAGGAAATCATTTGTATCAAGGTCAAAATGATGTCACAGGATGTCCACTGGAAGCTGAAGTCAGTGTACTGCTGGGTGCAGATGAGCTATCTCTATCTGAATTGTTTAAGCTGATCCAGACACCATTACTTTTTCTCCTTTCTTCCTTTACTATTTTTCTCCTAAAAGAAACTTATTATTGCTTTAGAGTGCATTAGACCCTCAGAAGTGACTTGTCATATTATGGATACCAGCAGAATTAACTGTCTTGAACAGAGGAAATTTATAAACACAAAATAGTTTGTTTTATCTAAGTTATAAACCTTTGAAATGGAAGTGCTGTCTTGAAAAGCATATAGTGTGGTAGTAGCACTATATCTGCCTCTGTAACAAGAACTAGAGCTACAATTAAAAATCCACGTTGTTTGAAGTGATGTCAGACTTCTGTAGTACTGCTTATAAAAGCAAGCAAGACATTTTTAGACATTGTCTCAAAGTTTGTCAGTTGGTAAACTGAAATACTATAAATGCAAGGGTTCCTGATGTGGAAAAAGATGTGTAAAATTAAAACCAAATATATCATGTACAGTGACAATATCCAAAAGAGTTTGACTGCCTATGTGTGTACTTGTGTACTGTCTTTGCATAGATACTCACACATACAGAAGATACTGTAGTGCTTCAAATTTCCTTCCATCTATAAAACTAATTGCAAACTATTTCTTTTTGTTCTTCTCACAGCTGAATTTTTATTCCTCTTGTGGGGTGTTTATCTCTGCTATGCAGTGCGGACAGTCCCATCAGCATTTCATGAGCCACGTTATATGGCTGTTGCAGTTCACAATGAGCTCATTATCTCTGCTATATTCCATACAATTAGGCAAGTGATCTGTAGATCTAGTAATTAACCATTTATCTTTCAGGTTTCCTATGGTGCAACTTAGAATGGGTGAATGGGGTAGGATAATGGAAAGTCTTATAAATATTTGTTTCTGCAAATTAAGTGCTTGCTAAACTTAAAACTGTTCCCATGGGATCCAAGAATATACAATTTTATAATTAGGGTTTTTTCAGTATAGTTAGGTATATTAGATCAAAATTCAGTATATGTGATAAATTAGGTATAGCAAAAAACTGTCTTCAGTCATCTACATACCACTCACTGTTTTGTATCCCTAGAAAACCAGCAGGTAAGAATGTTGGTTTGTATGAACTTTTGCTGATGTGTAACAGATTGGTGAGCTGCAGCTATGTGTTAAGATTATTGTACTGGTTTGGGCATGAAGCACAGTGTTTTATATGCTGACATAAAAAATTGTTACACATATAATGCTGTATTAGTGATAAAAAGCCCATGTTTCTAAGGAAGTCTATAATGGGCTTTGCATTTCATACTTGTAAATTATTTGGGTAGTAACAAATAAATAAGGGTCTTTGCTAGAGCTACATGAAAATTTACTAAATTTCCTACAGAGTACCCTGTAAAAATGAATTGGTCCTAGAAAATGCAAAAGAGGAAGATAACATGAGTTTCATCTCATCCTGTAAAAACACTTAAGACTTTCTTCTGACATTCTCACACCTTCTTTTGCCTCTTAACAGACTTTATCTTCTAAGATCTTTTTTTATTTTTACATTACTTCATTGACAGTCTTCAAATACTCTTCTCTGTTCCTTTGTCTGTCTTGGCACTAACATTTCTCCTTGTCTTCTTGATTTTTGCTTTCATGGTTTTTTCTGAGTAAACACCAGCAAAGCAAATCCTTCATCTCTGTTCCTTCCTGGTGCTCCTTTCCCTTATCATTGTTATACAGTTCACTGCATTTTTCAGGCATGCCATTTTTTTCCCTTCCCCTTCTCCTAACCCTGTATTTCAACACCCACATGCACTGAAAATCTATATTCCCTAACATAAGCATCTGCAAAGTTATTTTTTAAAATCTTTATTTGATGGCAGCATTTTCCTTTTCATTCCTGATAGATGTAACATTTATTTTATTATTTTTTGAGTTTATTATTACCGATGTGACAGCTTCTCAGTCAATTTTCCCCCCATTAATTTATATTCCTAAACTGTATGTTGAGCCATGTTAGAAGACACAGTTCAGAGGTATTTTTGTAGGCTGCAAGTTTCTTTTAACAATAGAACAGGAGGCAAGTAACCTTGGATGAAAGAAAGGGGAAAAGGGGAAAATGTGGCATTTTAATACATTCTTTATGAAGGAGACAAAAAGGATTAAGTCTTTCAGTTTGTCTTATTGACAATCCTGTGCCTGCAGCCTAAGGTCTGCTGATCCTATTCTTCCTTCTTTTATTTTTTTTATGTACATTTTGTATTGATTCTTTCCCATCTGTCTGATATATGCTGGTTTGTTGAAGAAATATTGTGTAGTGTTTATAGATACGATTGAAAAAAAATGTACACGACCCCTCCTCAGATTATGTCCATTCATTTCTGCATGCCCAACTCTTAATCCCTTTTTTTTTTTTTTTGCTTCTGTCTTCCTGCCAAGTTTTGGATGCAACTGAAAGGGCGGAAATGTAAAACTTAGATTTATATGACATACCTGAATTGTCATGATGTTGAAAGTACTGGAGCCTTGAAGGACACCTACAAGGCAGCCATCCAGTCTGAAAACTCCCAAAGCTCATGGAAGATTGATGTGAGCATTAAATAAAACCTTGAACTGTTTGCATTTTGTTTTCCTTTGAAAGTATTCCCATTTCAGAAACAGGGGATTTTGGATTATCTTCAGATCATCATAATATTAAATTTCTGCATTGCTCTTTCTCTAATATTACTGAGAAACCCAAAATTTATCTGGAAAAAATCTCATTCAAATTGAAATCCTATCTTTGCTAGGGCTGAATGGCTACTGCAAATGTGATTTTGCATTCAGAGGCATGGTATGGCATGGATGCCTTAATCAGTCAAGGTCTCTGCCATAAAGCAAGCAAAAAAGCCTTCACAGAATCTGTGGATCTGTTAAAGGATAAGCAGATGCAGTGGCCATCAGGATGTGGGTGCTTTCTCCCATCTGTCTGCTGCTGGCTCCATTGCAGGTTGATCAAGTCCATGGTGGGGCAGTCACACAACACCTGGCTGGCCACAGGGGCCACTGCAGGTCCCACACACAGCCTCCTCCTGTTCCTCCTCTGCAGCTGGACCTGGGCTGGCACTTTGGGTCTTCCCAGGGGCCACCCACATGCTGCCTGAGGTTTGTTCATCAATTGCACATGCACACATGCACACATGCACCATGCAGAGAGTGGTATCATGCATAAGGATTTAACAGAAGATGGGAGATACGTCAGGTACAGAGCTCAGTGACAACTTGCTTACATGTCACTAGCCATTTCCACCCCCACCTTCTTTCCATGCTTGTTTTTCCCTCACCTACCTTATTCTCTATCTGTCCCAGTCCTTGTCTTCCAAATAAACAATCCACCCTCTTTATTCTTTTCCTATTGGTCACAGTTTTCCTACACATGTACTCAAATTTGGAATTTGTGATGCCATTATCTAGGTAATCACTATCTTATCTGCTGTTGCTGATACGGTTACATCAGTGCCACTGACCTTGCAAGTTCTGCTCCCTCTGAGGTCCTTCAATTACCTGTGAAGTTTAGCCATCTCTCAAATGACTCCCTATTAACCACCTGTGAAATCTTGCCATCCCTTACAGCACTGTCTGTAACTTCTATTCACTTTTTGCTCTGTTATTTGTTACATCCATCAGTTTCTCATGTCATCTTCATCAGTGCAATTGTGTTCAGTTTACTAAATCTCAGGCCTGAGCCTCCTCATGTTCCCTCACACCCCAAAGCAACAGGAACTCTCTAGGAATTAATTAATTGGGATATTTTGTTGTGTTCATAAAATGTTGCATTTACAAAGTATTAAACAAGTAATTATGACTGTATTATAACAGCATGTAAGCCAGTGTTTCATGCCAGACTATTTCTGTTAACAAAAGCTTCTTCAAAATGTGCATCTGTGAACTTGGATAAGTTGCAAATGTCATTTCTATCTGAATGATTTTTGTTAACCTGGAAATTGCAAGCCTGCAGTACATCCGCTCATCCGTTGCACTGCTTACTGCTCCTGGCTTTGGGAGCTCACTAAAGCAGACAAGCCAAGCATGCCTCAGCTTTAACTGCACTGCTTCTCCTACCACTCCTTTAGAAAGCTCAGCAAGGAACTGTTTTCTTTGACAAGTTCAGCCACTCATTTCCAAGCATTCACAGGCTCTTGGATCCCACAGCAGTGAGCTGGGCGGTCCTGCTGTAAAGATCATTTCTCTGCTGCCTGCTAAAATGCATTTCAGTTCAGTTCTTCCTTGGATGGCTTATCAGCTGTACTCAATAGCTGTGATCTGTGGACATCCTGTGTTTATAAAGTGCACTGCAATTCATCATAGTACATGTGTTAACCTAAAACCATCCCTTCAGCTCCTTGATGTATGTAAGCTGCCATAACTCAGGCCAAAGAAACTGTGACAATATACACAAACCAAAAAGACAGCTCAATAGAGTGAGAAATATGGAATAAGCAGTATAATTTAAGGTCTGTTGTTTCTTTCTATATTTTGGTTTCTTGATTGGTTGTTTTCAGAGTTGTTTTGAAATTTTAGTATATAGGGAAAGTGTGTGGATGTAATTTTTAGTCTGTATGAAAGCAGTACAGAACAAAACCAATTGTGTTTGGCCATTCAGTGAAAAAAAACCTAAGGAATACTAATGATATTAAATCTAATGCACTGGAGAAATGCAGTGAATTGCAACCCTGTATTCTATTTTCAGATTCATTCTTTCTTCAAGACTTCAGTCTGACTGGATGCTGATGCTGTTTTTTGCACACACACATTTGACTGTGACAGTCACTGTTGGGCTACTTCTGATCCCTAAGGTATTTGAGTCTGCTGTCTCTTTTCTTTTGCCAAGTCTGAGGAAGAGAAATGTTGTCATGCAGAAGCATTTCTGGGTAAATCTAGCAGCAACTGATAGAAAAGGGGGATGTAAAATTTGGCTGTTTTACCTTGAAAGCTGTATTATTTCTATTTTTTAAAAATATACATTTTCAAAGTTTCTTTATTTCAGCTTTCAAAATTCCAGGAGTTTAAAGTACTTAAAATGTTGATATGACTAATTCAAGAAGGAAAGAATCCTGCCTAATTGTGCTTTTTTTTAAGGTATTTGTATGGCCATGCTGCTGCTAGAGTTAGCTGAGAGCAGACACAATTTTGGCAAGGGCATAGAACCACTGGACTCTTGGTATGGCCATGTCTGCTGAGAGCAGACACAATTTTGGCAAGGGCATAGAACCACTGGACTCTTGTAGGCTGGACTAGTCATGAGATGGGGAGGTAGGGATTTAAACCAGGCAGTTACAGGCTGAAAAAAGAGAACCCTTTGCAAGTCAGAGCCTGGGACAGACATGCTGCACTGGGAGGAGACGTGGCCATGGCAGGGAGCCAGGAGCAGTGCTGGGAGCCAAGAGAGGTGTGTGGGGGCACAGGGAGATGGTGATGGCAGGAGCCAGGGAAGGGCAGAGAAAGCCCCCAGAAGCTCCAGGGGAAGGAGATCTGCAAGTGGCTCCTCCTGGCCCTAGCAACAGTCCCCAGGAATGGAGTGGAACTTCCTTCTGAGGACAGTACCCCAGCAGAAGGAATGACTTTCTAATGGGTTTTGAAATGACTGATCATATTAATCAAAAGCTCAAGAGTCACAATAGCAGTAAAGGTGAAACCTATATATGAAGAAAGAGCATTAAGCAGTTCAGGTTGATAGAATTTTCAGGTTAATGAAGCTGCTATTCCTGCCTTTTTCCTGTGTGTCAGAACAGGGTATGCTGATGGCTGTCAAATATATGTACACTGAACAGTCATGACAAGGGACCCATTGATGCAGCCTTAATACTGCATAACCTTGTTTTATTTTAAATTACTTTTCTGGTCTTTAGTAATAATCTTATATTTTCTATTTTATATTTATGTACTTTATTACGTATCTTCAGAGATATTATACATCTTCAGAGATGTCTTTTTAAACTAGCCTAGAAAATTTGTTGACCTTTCTGAAGCTGAATCATAACTATGGATCAGTATTTTGATTTTTAGCTTATTATCTGTGTTTCACTGCACAGACTTTTCTTCCAACACACCAAAGAATTCAGAGAATTAAGATTCACAAGGTTGAGTTCTATTCATAAAGTCCTGAAGACAGATGCCTGTGTGGACAATAGTAAATTCAGATGAGTGAATCAATATGAACAAAACAATAATGACAACCTCATTCCAACTCCTAATTCAAGGATCTGGTGAAACATAGAAGAAAAATTTATCTACTTTTTCCTTAGTTTCTTTTGTTGTTGTTGTTGTATTAGTTTCTTTCGTTGTTGTTGTTGGCTTTTTTCCCCTACCTTACGTCTTCCTTTTCAGGGTTAGGATCTAAAAGAGAATTGCTTTCTGCAGGATTATTAAGATGTGTATTGTATAAAATAGTGTTTTACTGTTTTAGCAGCCTTATTGGAACTGTCTGAAAGTCTATTTTCATGCCAGCTTAATTGAAATGCCATTTAAAGAGGTTCAAACAGATGTCAAAATAAGTAGGGATTTTTTTTTTTCCTTATGCAAATTTCTAAAATTTATCATGTTAAGCCATCATTAATAAGAGTTCCTTCCATACAATACTGTGACTTTATAGGACACTACTTAAGCAAATGAAACTTAAGTAATGTTTTGAATTTGAGAATCACACAAATCTTTAGAAGGGTCATTGTACCATAAAACTCTTGTAAGCTCTTACATGTTGAAGTAAACTTTTGCACTCATGGCAACATTTTTTTTTTTGTGCAAACTTATTGCAGTTTTCACATTCAAGCAATAACCCAAGAGATGATATAGCTACAGAAGCTTATGAAGATGAGCTTGATATGGGTCGGTCTGGATCCTATCTGAACAGCAGTATCAACTCAGCATGGAGTGAACATAGTTTGGATCCTGAAGATATTCGGGTACATAGAACTCATTTAAATAGCATTTGTTTTCAAGAACACTTTTTCCTAGAAGAAAACTCCAACTTGCATGCATTTGTTTCTCTTTGCAGATATTAGATGAAAAATGCCAGCTTAGATCTTTTATGATTGTGGTATCAGGTCATGTAAACTCTCATGTAGTATTTGCTAGTGTGAAGAGATGCTGCACCACTAGCTGTAGTAAAAGTCATAGTGGTGGCTAAGTAAGAGGAATCATCCTCAGCAAGAGCTGTTACTCAGTTTACATAGATTCTTTGAATTATTTTGAAGTGCAAACAGCTTTTGGTTTCAGTTTAATTAGTCATTTGTATGTAACATATACATAAGCATACATAACTATAAAGATAAACATTAAAAACTTGATTAATGGAGAAAATTACTTTATTCTTATTTTACATTATTGAAGTCCTTATGTTATCAGAACAAAAACAGCTATAGAGTTCAGCAGGAAAGCATGCACTACAGCATTGTGAAATCTGAAACAGCATAAATGAGTATGAAGTGTGCATGCTGTGGAAAGTGACATGTTTGTGCACAAGAGTTGAACTTTTTTTAAGTGGAAAAAAATGGGATTCAAGTTGATGGAAAAATTGCATATTCAAGAATTAGAAAAGACAGTGACATAAGTTTAATGCCTGTTTTAGAGCAATAGGTCTTGCATTTGTCAGTCTGCTTGTTTGACTGTAGTCACTGTGTGAATACTAGTTTTGCCATTCACTTTGCTTTGCAGGATGAGTTGAAGAAACTATATGCTCAGCTTGAAATCTATAAAAGGAAAAAGATGATTGCTAATAATCCACATCTCCAGAAAAAAAGGTGCTCTAAAAAGGGCTTGGGGCGCTCGATAATGCGGCGTATTACAGAAATCCCTGAGACAGTCACCAGGCAGTGCTCCAGGGATGAGAAGGACCTGATGGAGCACAGTGCTGTGAAGAACTTGGCCACACTGAAGAAAAACCCACCGGATTCCACGAGTTCTGCAAAGCCAAAAGAAGATACTTCGAAAAACAGAGTGTTTTCCTTAAAAAAGTCCCACAGCACTTACGATCATGTTAGGGATCAAACAGAAGAACCAAATGGCTTAACTACAGAAAGTGCAGAAGTTATAGCTTCTGAGAAAACACTTCTGGACTCCTTGAATGGTAACAAATTAACCAAAAATGCTCCTGAAAAGGTTGACGCTGTCTCTACTGAATCGGTCCCTTTGGTGTGCAAATCAGTAAGTGCGCATAATTTAAGTGCCGATAAGAAGCCTCTGCATCCAAGAACATCTGTGTTACAAAAATCCCTCAGTGTTATTGCTAGTGCCAAGGAAAAGACTCTGGGACTCACGGGTAAAACGCAAAGTCTAGAAGAAAGCACTAAATCTCATAAATCTCAGCAGAAGGGTAAGGAGGCCAGCAAAAAGCACTCAGCCTCCGATAAAGGGGAACATAAGGATTCCCACCGGAAAAACTCTACCCAGTCTGAGGAAACAAAGAAAACCCATAAATCTGGAATTATTAAACAGCAAAGGGTTGGTCAAACACCTGCAAATCCAGACACAGGCCCAGGTAAGTCTCTGCACAAGGACAATTTCAACATAGGAGAAGTTTGTCCTTGGGAGATCTATGACCAAGTTCCTGGTCCTGTGCCTTTTGACTCTAAAGCTCAAAAACATGTGTCTATTGCTTCCTCAGAGCCAGAGAAAAACCACCCTTCCCAGCCAAAGGGGAAGACTCATCATAAGCTGAAGACACCTGAGGGGCACCAACAGTCAAATCAAAAGAGCTCAGAGAAGGCAGAAGCAGCCACTCAGGAGACACAAGAGCAGCAGATCTTTGAAAATGAGAAAAATCAGTCAAATTCCCAGGTCTCTCCTGGGCTGAAGTGTGAGAATGTTAATAGGCATACACCTAACACCCGTGCTGGAGAGCGGGAGGAGCTGCCCCAGAAAACAGCAGAAAAGGAAAACCTCAATAAATTGGCTGAACAGAAAAAAATTGCCTCTTCTGAGGGAAATGTGCTTTCATCTAACTCCCATAAGCCAAGTAGTTACGTTCAGCAACCTTTAGCATCTCGAGCTGAAGTCTGCCCTTGGGAGTATGATACAGCAGATTTACCAAATGCAGAAAGAAGTGTAGCTTTATTGAACACCTCTGCTATAAGTGCAAATAAAACAGCAGCACCTCGAAAATAAGAGGCTTTTGGACTGAGGAGAGTAGCAACATTGAGAAGACAACAGGAAAGACAGAGGGAGGACTTAGGCTAAAAGGATCTGAAAATTCCTAAGGAGCATCACTTAAATCAAGGGAATCAGCACTACAAATATGTAGGAGTTAAGCAAAGTAAATTATCGTTATTGTTGTTATTATTTATATGTTGAGTGCCAACAATGTGATTAGCAGTGCCCAGAATATGGTCCCTGCTCCAAGGATTTTACTGTGTCAATGAAAGAAATCTGCCTTTGTGAAATCAATTTTCTTTTAAAAGAAAAAATAATAAGATGATAACAAACGCACAGTGTAGATCTTAACCAAATTATTTCTGGATGATGTAACTGGCTGTAAATTGCCCTTGGGACTTTAAAGATCCAGCAGAAGTGGAACACAGAAAATGTCCTGATGACAAAAAGGGGTACCAACGAGCAGCTTATTAAAGTGACGACTTTTCACTTTACATATTTAATCTAAATAGCACTGATAACTCAATGCATCCCAAGAATATTTTGTAAAATTATTACTTTCATTTTCTTATTACTGTGTGTTTAAGTACATTGTTGTGTCTCATATTAAAGCATTCCAGATTGTATAATTTTTTGCAAATAACTTTGATATTATGTGACACAACAACATATTTATGCAATCTGCAGATACTGTCTTCTAATTCCAAGTTAAAATACCTGCTGTAGACCTTTTTGTTTATATATAGAATTGCAGTAATCTTTCACTGGCTATGTAAGTCATAATTCATATTGGGAAATTCTTCTGGGCTTTGGAGATTTTTTTTTCTTTCCTGTAATTTATATAGTGGTTTTTTTGTTTGTTTGTTTACTCTCTGTTATTTATATTTATAGTTTGATACTGTATTATTCAGGGGTTTTATATGCAGTAAGTTATGCACTTCCCTATTAATGCTCATAGACTTTGTTAATGGTGGAAATTCAGTTGTCTTAGCTGGTAGGACAACTAATCTGGGTTTTTTGTTACTAATTGGAAAATATCATCTCAGAGACGAGAAATCTTACTTTAAACACGATGGTGATGATCTTGTTCAGTATTTCATACTGAACCTATCCTGTTAAATAAGACAAGCAAGAATGACAATGAATATACCCCAGAAATGATCACATGTTTTACTAATACCAGACAGCTCTGGAAGATATTTTATTTATGGAACAACCCTGTACTGTTTACCCCTGTTGGCAAACCTCAAAAAATTGGCTCTTGGAGTGAGAACTCCAAAATATTACTCTTGCCCCATACATGCAAATGTAAGCGATACTGGGAATGAAAATGATGGCATCTCTCTCCAAGTGTCCAAAATGCTTTGACTTTTTTTACATTTATATGTACATTTACAGTAAAAGTTGGTGTTTGATACAGTGCTACTTTTCAGCAATAGCTACAGTCCTCATCGTGCATATGAGCTTAATTCATAGGTGGCCCATTCACAACAATGAGGCTTAGTGACAGTTCACCATCAGGGCCTGAGGACATGCTGAACTCTTCTGAGGAGTATCAGCAGTAATTAAACAGCCCCAGCCATCTCAATGCAGTACCAGTAAAGTGCTGTTCACAGGAATTGGCTGTACGTAGTGTACTCCAAAACAAAGACAGCTCAGTCCTAAAGAACTTGTGCAATTTGAGAGAAGTGATGGGATTTGGTGGAAGAACATGAAATGTGGATGATTGAATAGAATGTGTTGTTTAATATATATAATATATATAAAAATAGATATTTATATATGTTTAATATATATATATAAATGTCATATCTAATACACACATGCACATACACGTATGTAGTATAAACTGATTTTTGTGGCATCATAGAAAAAGTGGCTTAAGAAAAAATGCAATGAGCAGAGGGATTTAGACAACCTGGGCATGAGGATTTTTCTATCCTTTAAAAAGGAGAGGATTCTATGGGCATGTCTAGACTGACAGATCAAGATGGATCTGATTTTCCTACTGCCGCTGCTAAGCCCAAACCTGACATGTGCCAACACCTGAGCCAGCTCAGGTGACTCAGGTCTTGGTGCTGTCTAAACACGTTACCTCACTTATAAATTCTGCTCATTAGCTCCAGATTAAGTGACTGAACAGCCCCAGCCAACCTGGTTATCCAGGATAGTGCTCAGTTCCACCATGGGGATGTGCTGGCTTAGGTCTTTACTACCCTGGGCTTGTCTGACTCTCCCATCCCTCTTTTTGTAGGGCATAATTATGGTCTAGGAGATCTGACTGGGACCCTTCAACCCAGAATCCCTGTTCTACCCATGAAAGGGAGTCAGGCATATGAGTCTGGGTGCTTTGGACATCAGTGCACCCACTTTGTACACACAGCACCACTGGCATCCTATGTGCAGCCCAAATCCAGCTCTGTCCTTGGTGTGGAAAAGAGTTGAGATTAGAGCTGGTGTGCTCAGATTCTTCCTTCCCAGTCCCAGACACTCGTGGGATTTGTCTGTAACTTGTCATGTCAGCTTCAGTGGGACTTGATCAGCTTTTCTGGAAAATAACCCTGAATTTCCAGGAGAAGTCTTTCCTAGGAACAGAGCTTTTTGGGAGGCCTCCAGGAGCACACTGACCCTGTGTGCAGAGAAACACACAATTTTAAATACACCTGCTGAAATGGTGACAATCTTACACCTCTCCTGTCCTTGAAGGGAAGTTCTGCAGCCTCAGCAGTGGTTTTGGGGACTGGGACGGGGGCACAGCTTATGGCAGGCTGCCCTGGCTCCTTTAGGGGGGCCTGACTGTGAGGTTAGAAGTGGACATCCACAGAGGGATCATGGAAGGAGATCTTTGTACGTACTCACTGCCTCTTGGAGACAGATGGTTGCAAGGAACAGGCACCAGCCCTCGTGCCCTTGCTCATCTGGCCCTCCATCCTTTACCTCGGAGCTGAGCAAGGCCACACTGCCCTGCAGGAGCCGTGTAGGGTGCCTTGTGCACCGAGGACGGGGGGCTCCACATCGGCAAAGTGTCCCCCCAGTACCACTGCCCCTTGTGTTCCTGGCAGGATCGAGCCCTTCGTGCATGACTGTGTCTGTGCCACCGCTGTATATCTGTACTTGCTTGGTTTCCTTTCCCTTTCTTTCTGTTTGGAAAGATAACTTCATTAGAAACACAGAAACAAAGCCCACTCCTTGGCTGGTGTAAAACAGCCCAGCTGCACAGAAAGCAAAAAGCAAAGGCTGGTTAACCAGGGAAGGCATTGGCTTGTATATTCTCATTTGGTTTAGATTTCTTTCGTCCTGACCCTTTCCCTCACTTCTTAAAAACTGTCTGTTGTGGTTCTTTAGGCTCATTTTAGTCCCGTCTCCTGACACAATTGGAAAACTTTCCTTTAGAAAACAAAAAAAGCTTTCCCCGGTTTATTAAGCAACTGCTCTTTGGGCTACAGATTCAATTGGGACTTAAATTATTTCACATTTAAGAAATGAGGGGCCAAACTTCACTCAACTATCCTATTTCACTATGATGCTGCTAGAAGCATTGCTTAATGAAGACATACTAAGTTAGACATAAATAATGGTTTGTATTTCATAGATTTTTGTCCACCAGCATATATTGACTAGATTGCTTAGATGTCTTTTTCTGGAATTTCATTGTCATTGTTTAGCAAAGAGAAGTGCAACTCTAGAGTAAAGATGTTATAAAGATATTCTCTAGCAGATCTGTTAAGAGAAAAGACAATAAACATGAAGGTCACAAACATTTGCTAGGTTGTCCTTCTAACTGCATGTGCAAGCTGCATTTCTCCTTCATTTCTAAGTCATGGTTTATAAGTAATTAGATTTATACCAATCTTATTAGACTTGTATAATTTATGCAAGATTATGCGCTTTAAAATATAAATCAGTACACACTTATCATCAGCTTTGGTGGCATCATAGACCTGAAACCAGACAAGACATTTATATTTGCTCTCCTTAGGCTTTTGCATGCATATGACAACAGGCAGGCCTGAGCAAACACTGCCTTTGACTTTTAAAATTTTAGCTACTCCAAGTTGTAGAGTATATAAAGCTGTAAGTCTCTTCACTTTATAATGTGGTTCTTATGACAATGTTATCTGGCAACCAACAGCATCCACCATGAAATACTTGATAGATTTATGTTGTAATGTGTTGCAGCATGTAAATAATGTAACTTCTCTGCAATAAAGCACATTTATATTAAATCTGTTCGCAGACTTTTGTGTTGTGATTTTCTGAAGTTGATCCAAACTGAATGGGTTTGCCATCAAACTGGTAAAGTAACTAACTTTACAGCTTCTATGATCAAATCATACCATTATCATTTTCTGGATTTTTCCTTATATTTTCATCGGAGCAGATATGTACTATGTTCAGGATTTCATGTTAGGGAAAGAGCTCTGTTTTCTCAGTGGTTGCAATTTTCAGGTCAAAATTGTAGAGTCCATTCTATGTTCTTTTGAATTTAATGGTAACTACAACATTAGAAAACAAGGGGAAATAAATAGACCACATTTAATGATGTCATTGTAAAATCCTATAGCTCATCTGTACTATGTGTGTACATGCCTGAGTTCCTTGTCTCAAATATCTGTCTAACAGGTATAGGAAAGATACAAAGAAAGGGAACAAAAAATATGAGAGACAGAGAATGGCAGCTGTGTAACTTGTTTACCTTGGGAGAGAGATGACTCAGAAAGAGGGACGAGACCTATAAAAAATTGTGAATGATTCAAAGGTAATTAGGAGTCTGGAATTTGTTGGATTTTGTTGTGCAGGAGCTGTAGAACACCCAGGGTGGCCATCATGCAGCAGTTTAAAACAAATGAAGTTTTCTTCTGCATATGTCATAAATAAATTGTGGAGCTTATTTTAATAGATCACTGTGCATATCATGGGTTCAAAAAGCATTGGAGAAGTCATGGAAGACAAATCCATCAAGATCCCTGAACATGGTGGATAAGAAATTCTTAAATCCCTAACCTCTAGATGGCTGATAAGTAGTATAATTCTCTTTGCATAATCACCCAGTTCTCTTACCTTAATCACCCACTGCTCAATATGGTGCCACATGAACATTTCATCCAGCACAACCTCTGTACATTCTTATGTCTGCATAAATACAGATAGTTTAGGCTCACTTAGTTTATTTTCAGTTGTCATCCTGGTGGTTTTTAATGACTGATTATTGAGGTACAAGTCCAGGTAGGTTCCTGCACAGGCATATGTATGTGTTCACATGTCCCAGGGCCTCCTGGGTTGGAAAGCTGCCATTTGGATAACAGTTTGAGCCAAGCTGTCAGGTGTCATGGAAACATGAGATGGAAAGAAGGGAAGGAATTACTTATGTTCTTTAAATGAACTGTATACAAGTGCTTTGAAAGCAAGAAGTCCAGATACCAGAAAATTAAGGCCTGGAGATTTTTCACTGTACTACCTCAGGGTGTTCAGCTCAAACTGAGGGCAGCTTTGCTCTCTCAAGTGATGGGTGCCTTTTGAGCCCCACTTCTAAAGTTTTCACTGGTTTTAATAAGTAAGGAAATTATTTACACAGTTTTGTGGCTTTGGAATCATCCAGAGATGTATTTTCACACACCCTCTTGCTTCTCCTGTTATATTTCATGAGAGGAATTTCATGTGGCTGCACCTGCACAGCCGTGAGAGGCTGGGGTGGGGGGTGTCCCATCGTCAGCCTGGCACCCAGGGACAGGGTTTGGAGAGGAGAGATGGGCACTTCACAGGGGTGATGGTGAAGAGAGATACAGGCTTGAGCAAGAGGCTCAGAATGAATACTCAGAAATCTTTTTCACCATGAGAAGTCAAACAGTGGAGAGGGTTACTCAAAGGTTGTGCCATTCCCATCCTCTGAGCTTTTCTTGGATAAAGCCCTGATCTTGTAGCTTTGGGCAGCAGGTTGGATTGGAGACCTCCTGAATGAGCCCATCATGCTACGGAGAGTGTTCACTACCAGAACTTACTCTTCCATCATCCTCTGGAAAGCCTGTAGGCAGATACCAGGCAGCTCCAGCTTCTGCCCAGAAGCACAGGACACACATTCATTTATACCATACATACCTCTGGGCAAGCCCTCCTAACAAACACCAGCTGCTGAAATAAAAAGGCATTTGGCTTTTCCTCTGACCCCACAGCCCAGAGTTACCATGGTAACAAAGTGATGAGGAAAATAATTTTTGTTTAGAGCTGGTTGGGAAGAAGTTTTCCTGCCTGTGTTTAGTGAGTATTTGAGCTGGTGCACAGTTGAAAGAAAGCCTATAAAAATGGTAATGTTTTTCCCCTAACAAATTGAGGAATTTTTTTAATGTCAGTGCTGGATTGGATTCTGAAGGAACCATTAAAGAAATTCTAAATTTTGGGGCATTTTGTGAATGCAATTCTTCAAAAAGGCAGTTGATTTGATTCAGGGTTACGGGGTTTCAGAGTCTCTGTCTGTCTGCAGAGAAGTTATTTCAAGCTGAATCTGCATCTTTACAATAAAACAGAATTTCTGACAGGCTGAAGCCAACTTTTTTCCAATTCTGTAGGAGATTTTTCATCATCTTGGAAATTAGCTTTAGCAATGCTTGAAATTTAGTAAAAGATACTGATTATTTCACTGGGTTGGCAGGCTGTCATCATGTTGCAATATTCAATCTTGTGGTTCTTTTAACTCCTGGAAGATTAAACATTGTCTCTCCATTTATGCAGATGATATTTCTTTTTTTCTGTTTCATTTATTTATGAGCTAGCCCTTTTAGTCTCTGAAAGTGTACAAACAAACTGAACCCTGGACATTTTACCACAAAATTAGTGGATTTTAGATTTCTGGATATATATGAATTAGGTTGAATTTTGCATTGTGTCAAAGCATGAAAAGAACATTACATTGTACCCAAAATAGCCATATATATATTTGAAATGTGAATTTATGGTATTCTGTGTAATATAGATATACATATCTTATATAGAAGGCACAGAATCATCCCTGCAGCCTTGTAGCTGCAGAAGGCAAGGTTTTCCAGTAGACAAGTATCTGCTTTTAGAAGCAATTAAAAGAGAAAATTGCTAAGCCTGCATAATGGGAGTCTTTTAATGAAATGCAAACTGCTGGGTGTTGTTTGGATCTTTGGGTATAAAACGTGTGTGAAGTTAGGGCTTGCCTTTGCTTCTTGGCTGCTGGGGAGATGTTCAGAGGAGGAGCAAAGGCAGATGTCTCTCTGGTCCCACCACAGCGTGGGCTGCCATGCCCACATGTGTGACCTCTTGCTCTCCTGCTTACAGTTCACCTGCTGTGCCCTTTTTTTTAATGATGCTGAATCATGGAGTAGACTTAAAAACCTGGGTTTGGCTGATCTGCTGGGCAAACCCCCAGCACTCCCTGCAGCACCTTCTCCCCTGCTGCTCTGCAGAGGTGACAAGAGCAGTGCCCATGAGGTGGGTCTGGATGCTGCAGGGCTGCCAGAGCAGGGCAGGGTGGAGGCTGCCTGACTCTGAGCACTATTAGTGGTACTGCTTGACAGATGATGCTGGCAGGGAGCTTAGACTGGCTGCAGTACTACAGATAAAAACCAGGCTGGTTTGACATACTTCAGTGCTAAAAATAGAATCATATAATGATGTCTTTGTCGAAAGTTTTTTTTAATCTGCAGGGGGGTAAGAACAGTGTAGTTCCAAAGCAGTCATCCTGGAGACATCATCAAAGGAAAATCACAGCAGCACTGGAGAAGCTACCTGTCCAGCCCTGTTCCCACATCATGTTTTATGACACCCTTGGCAAATGCACAGCATTTGTGTAAGCCAGCAAAACTGGCTTGTGCTACTCTCTATGCAATGTATTTTATGTTTATATTCACTTTAGTGCTTTTGGTTCACAACATTTAGGTTTCACTTTGTTTACAGCAGTTTTGTTATCACTGATGATTTTTTTATTATTTTACAGGAACTTGCTAACAAACTTGATTGGTATCTTAGTGGCTCCATTGCAAGGCCAGCTTTATCCCCACAAAATTTTTTGTATTTGAAGTCAGAAAGAATAGTTTCACAATTCATGGAATTTTCCTTCAGAAATAGTTAAATATTATAAAATACTGATTTCATTATTTTTATTCTGGTTAATTATTTATTCTGTTTTCATGACCAACAAAATTGCAGTAAGTAAGAATTGGTAACATAAAGCTACATTCTTTACTTTCTAGGTATAATTTAGATGCATTTTTCCTTCTAGGATTTAAGATGAATTGTAGATTGCAGTTGCATGACCTTTCCATGCATCTGCTTGTTGTCTACATTACAACTAGAATTGCAAAGTCCTGTTACAAACAATCATTGCCTAGAAAGGGATTGGGTGTTTTGGATTTGCCATCCCATTCATGTATGACAATAATTTTTACACACAAGCTAAACTACTTGCTAAACTACTTGCTTTGGTGTTTTATTCATTGCGTGGTAAATGTAGATAGTATTCTTAATTCCTTGGGAACAACATTACAATTCAATATAATGGGCAGGCAGGTAACAATCAAAAATTGTTGAGATAAAACTGCATAGTCTTTATTTTGTTGAGAATGTGAGTGTGAAAATGTGAAAACCTTGGCCTCTCTGGGGAAGAAAACAGAACAAAACAATGAGGATTTTATTTATTACTTTCACATTCAGAACCAATTATTAGAGTATTAAGGAGCTTAGAGAAAACTTGTACATTTCTGACAATTGATCAAATACTGCTCTGTGCATTCCATCTACTAAAAATACCTGTGATTTCAGCTGAAAGAAGTATGCATCTTGTAGTTCTTGCCCCAAACTCAATTTTTACTAAGGAAAAAAATTACCCAGTGGGGAGGGATTTCAACAGAGGATGCAGAAACCACATATGTATAAGTTCCATGCCTGCTTAAGATTTTTGGGTTTTATACACTATTTTATGCTGTTCCTGCTTTTACCTTGCAGGAAATTGCCTTTTTTCTGGAATTAAATTACTTGGATATCGTTTCTTCAAAAGTGAGTGCATGTTTGAAGTGTCAAGCAGGTAGGTTATAAAAGGAAATACATTTACATAAAAAAAGCACTGCAGCATTTTAGGGGCTGCTTAGGCAGAGCTCCCACTTTTCTCTGCTCATTTGTTGTCTCCTCACATGGAAAACATATTTTCTACTGTAACTTAATATGACCCAAAAGAAGACCTAGAGGACAAAGATATTATCAGTTACTGAATG